CAATAATGACAACAATAGAAATAACAACAAAATATTTAACAAATATAACAACAACAATAACAACAACAATAGATAACAAAAATAACAATAATAACAAAGAAAACAACAGCAATAAAAATAACGAGAATAACAATAACAACATAGATAACAACAACAATAACAACAATAAAAATAAAAAAATAACAATAACAACATAGATAACAACAACAATTAAAAATAACAACAAAATAACAATAACAACAATGTCAGAAAAATCATTATCATTCTAGTAATGATGACAACAATGACACTGAAATTCATCATGATGATAATGACTGTTTGGCTACGTTGATGATAATGAACATTGATGATGTAAATGATGATAGTAAGAATAAAAATGGTAATGATATTGCTAACATTAATGATGATAATGGTAGCAATACTGACAAGAACAACTATAACTACAACAATAATGATAATGAAAGCAATAACGATAATAACAGTACCGATAATACTGTTAATAATGATGATGATGGGAATGATAATGATGATGATAATGACAGATAATGCTAATGCTAATAATAATAATAATAATAAATGATGATAATGATAATAATAATAATAATATAATAATATAATAAATAATAATAATAATATAATAATGATGATATAATAATGATAATAATAAAATGATAGGTAATGATGAGGTGATGATAAATAATAATAATAATATAATGATAATTAATAATAAATAATAATAATAATAATAATAATAATAAATAATAATAATAATAATAATAATAATAATAATAGTAATAATAATAATAACAATAATAATAATAATAATAATAAATAATAATAATAATAATAATATATAAAATAATAATAATAATAATAATAATAATAATAATAATAATAATAATAATAATAATAGATAAAAATAATTACAATAATAATAATAATAATAATAATAATATAATAATAATAATAATAATAAATAATAATAATAATAATAAATATATGATAATAAACAATAATAATAATAATAACAAAATAATGCTAATAATGATAAAAATATGAAGAAAAGGGAAAAGAAGAGTAAGAAGAAGAATGATAATGATAATAGCAATAACAACCTAAGTCATGTATATTTCGCGTCTCGATGACGGCCCAAAACCCTAACAGATTGCAAAAGGATTGAAAGTGGTAACAGGGTTCTCTCTCTCTCTCTCTCTCTCTCTCTCTCTCTTCTCTCTCCTCTCTCTCTCTCTCTCTCTCTTCTCTCTCTCTTCTCTCTCTCTCTTCTCTCTCTCCTCTCTCTCTCCTCTCTCTCTCTCTCTCTCTCTCTCTCTCTCTCCTCTCTCTCCTTCCTTCCTTCCTTCCTTCCTCCCTCTCTCTCTAGCTCTCTCTCTCCTACCCTTCCTTCTTCCTTCCTCCTTTCTCTCTAGGCTCTCTTCTCTTCTCCTTTCCTTCCTTCCTTCCTCCCTTCCCCTCTCTCTCTTCTTCCCCTTCCTTCCCTTCCTTCCTCCCTATCCTATCTCTCTCTCTCCTTCCCTCCTTCTCCCTTCCTTCCTTCCTCCCTCCTCTCTCTCTATCTCTCTCTCCTTCCCCTTCTTCCTCCCTTCCTTCCTTCCTCCCTCCCTCTCTCTCTATCTCTCTATCTCCTTCCCTCCTTCCTCCTTCCTCCTCTCTCCTCGGCTTCCTTCCCTTCTTCTCTTCCTTCCTTCCTTCCTCCCTCCTTCCTTCTCTTCTCTGCTCTCTTTCTCTTTCCCTTCCTTCCTTCCTTCCTCCCTCTCTCTCTCAGGCTCTCTCTTACTCCTTTCCCTTCCTTCGCTTCCTTCCTCCTCTCTCTCTAGTCTCTCTCTCTCCTTCCCTTCCTTCCTTCCTTCCATCTCCTCTTCTCTCTAGCTCTCTCTCTCTCCTCCCTTCCTTCTTCCTTCCTTCCTCTCTCTCTAGCTCTAGCTTCTCTCTCCTTCCCCTTCCTTCCTTCCTTCCTCTCTCCCTCTCTCGTCTAGCTCTCTTTTCTCCTTCCTTCCTTCCTTCTTCCTCCCTCTCTCTCTCTATCTCTCTCTCTCCTTCCCTTCCTTCTTCCACCCTCCTCCCTCTCTCTCTAGCTATCTCTCTCCTTCCTTTCCTTCCTTCCTTCTCCCCTCTCTCTCCCTTCTCTTCTCTCTCTCTCTCTCTCTCTCTCTATCTCTCTCTTCTCTCTCTCTCTTCTCTCTCTCATCTCTCTATCTCTCTCTTCTCTCTCCTCCTCTCTCTCTTCTCTCCTCCTCTTCCTTCCTTCCTTTCCTTCCTCCTTCTTCCTCCTTTCCCTCTCTTCTCCTTCCCTTCCTTCCTCCTTCCTCTCCCTCTCTCTCCTAGCTCTCTCCTCCTCCTTTCTCTCTCGTAGAGCTCTCCTCTCATCTCTCTCCTTCCTTCCTTCCTTCCATCTTCCTTCCTTCCCTCCTTCCCTCCTCCTTCTCCTCCCTCAACTCCTCCCCTCTCTCTCTTCTCTCTCTCTCCATCTCCTCTCTCCTCT